ACTTTATTACCAAAACATCAAAACACCCATCAGTATCGTTGTAGACGCATCCAACTCAATAATCGGGGGAATTATCATCTAATATGCACATGTATATGTATATTATTTTTCAAATAACAAAATCCACAAGTTCATTTTTATGCCGAAACGTTTATTTGAAAATTAATATACAAATATATATGTGTATCAGATGAAAGAGATTCTTTGATCTTGACATTATAATATGAAAATACCGAAAATATTACGAAATAACTAAAAGTCACAAACAGTGTGATAATACAAGCATATACAAAGTGTCTCACGTGTAAATGTTCAGATGTTCTGTAAGTCTAGCCGTTCTTCTGGAGCGCGTTGTTTGGAACCGGTTATTGAATAGAAACGAAGTTTCACCGTGGACGTTAGTTATCGAAAATGAGATCGTATTCGTGAGGCATGTATCTCTTAATTGATCAAGATGACTGATAATTCTTCTAGTTAAACGCTATATTCGGTTCCTAAGCTCTTCAAATACCATCCACGCTAAATCTGTGCAACGACCTAACGCGAGAGATAAAGCGCGAAATATGGAAGAAAATGCTTTACTCCAAAAGTCCATTTATGTACAGAGAATCTAAGGTTTTTATAGTATCTTAGATATTCTTGGGTTCCCCGAAAACTCTGGAATGCTACTTAACATGGTAGCAGTATAAGTAATCATCCAATCAGAAACTCGACGTATAACTTTTTCGCTTTCTAGGCGTTTCTGGCTAAACGTTTAGTGAGAGGTAATTGGATAAGATTCTTCTCAGTATTTATAGGGCGTTTATTGACTGCTTTTTGGGCGGTTTTCGGGATCTTACCACAAAGGACAGTAAACAAGATTAGAGTTTCCGTCGAGGTAAGTGGCTTTAGAATGCTCGACGCTGATTATAGCGTTTGTCTCATTCTTATCGGTTTAATCTGTCTATCCTTGAGATGGAAGACTTTTAAGAGTGCTTAATTCGCAGTTCCTAAGGTATAGAATAATGAATCGAAATCATCTGTAACAAGTCATGCGGCGGGTTGGGCGAAAATATCAGTTGACTCTGTTTGAGCGGAAACGGGTTTAACTAAGTACACAGTTTTTTTAAGCCTGCTCGAGTAGGAGTTTGTATTTGTCAAACACTGAATATTTGTAGCATTTTCTGGCATATACTTCTACTAATGTGCTGCTGATGATAGCCTCAGGCTCTAAATCAGAAGACAGAGTTCGGCAGAAAATATTTTGCGACGGCAGTTGTAGAACATTCCTCGCTTGATCTCATATCGACAGGAGGCACTGATTCGCTATTTGGTAATATCTCCATCAGATTGAGAAGTTCCATCATTTCTCTTAAGTTCTTGAAATATCTACCTATTTTTTGCAGGATAACTTGGCTTATCTAGACGCCGTATCCCGAACGGCTTAACCTTGAGGCGTGAATGTGTGAATTTGAAATGAGGTCGACTACTTAGGGTAGAGAGACGAAAACTATTCTATCACCTGATTGATCGACAAGCATGCGAGTGAGACGAGACAAGTCAACTGCAACACTACATGATTTGTTCTCTATTACGACCTGGTTCCCGATTTCAGAATAGTATAGAAAGATACATGAATAAATAGATGACTAACGAGACCAAAACAAACAAACAATAAGAAAAATACAATTATGTCCAAAGCTGCAGATTAGAGTAGAAAATAGAGTACAAAAGTCAAAATAGCTTTGGAACAGAAAGGGCTGTGAAAATAAATCATATATCAGACGAAAGCATCTGATATGTGGAACAGACTAGGGACAAAAATAGATGTAACTGTGTCATAAGCTTTGATTTAAATGAAAAAAGTCCCGAAAATGGCTCCCGTGGTTTTTCAAGGCTTCTTTTTTCTCTGTTCATATGAACTTTATATTGGACAAACACATTTATTAAGGAGTATTTTATTCATAACCAACATGAAGCTAGTTTTCAACAGGCTGTACGCAAGGTAGGACAAAAATTAGTGAAGATTTTGTTGAACTATCTTTTTCAATTGGAATGCCGCTTGTAATCTTCGAGAATGCAAAAGAAACAGAATCTGATCACGTTAATGAGATTTAGAAGACCATTTTGGCAGCTGAGAAATAACCTCTCGATTAATTTTTAAAACTCAAGCAAAATATGCGAAAAACAGCGACTGCTCGAGTATGACAAGAACATCGAATAGTTATAGAAAACCAATGGCATTGAATTTCAGAACATGTATTGATGGATAAACAAACATTTTGCCAGCAGTAGCCGAAAAAACCGAGGTATATAAAGGTTTCACAAACCTGCCCGTGTTAGGGATCACAGCACTAGCGTTATCCGAATCCTGAACTAAAAAAATTACTAAAAGCGTTGATTGATTGTCATTTGAAAATCTTCGTGATACTTTCCCTATGATCTCTCTTGGTTTTCTAATGTTTTAATTTTTCGGATAAAGTTTTCCGTATGATTTAGCACGTAAGGAGGTTGCGCCTTTCGTCATTACTCTTCATTTACTCTCACAATATGTCAATCCCTGTATATTACCCATTATTCTTTCCCGGGATTTCGCTGTATTGTTGGGAGTGCTGAAGGGAGTTATCAGGGTGTGTGGTGACTCTTTTGAGGTCATTGCCAATACAATTATGAATAGACATCTAAATTCTTGCAAACTCCTGGCAGGTGTTATCTTATCAGGTATTAACCATCCACTCCTTGTATGTCTTCTGGTAGAAACAGATGTCAATACATCAGAATCCATGCACCCAAGCAAAGGTATAAAAGTTCTATGAATTATTTACCTGGCAAATATAACATATGACGAACAGGTTGTTAGAGTCGACCTAGTCAATAGCTTGTATTCTTAAACACGTTTCTAATTTTTTGAAAATGTACAGATTCGAAAAAACATCTCATTTAATTCCAGGTAGTTTATCTACTCAACTTGTGTATATATGTATGCAGTTATCAGTTTCCTTCACCCTTTTCCTCATTCTCTTCAAGAAACTTGTTGAAATACCTTGCGGGGAGAAGTCGATATTGTATTGAGTATATAATGCTGAATAAAGCCAATAATAATAATAATAATAATCATAATAATAATAATAATAATAATAGTAATAATAAAACAGCCTATTCGCAATGAAAACCCTTAATCTAGTTCCTAATTCTAAGTATCAACTATACATCGTTATTCTTATTTCTCACGCTGCTTTATAACCGTAATTTCGCAGTAGTTAGTAGATGGGCATAATGTGGGTCACTTTAGCATCGCTTAAAGTTGTTCATAAATTATAGTGTCGCCAAATAATCTTTTTTGTTCGTATTATTTAAGAAGATGGAATTGTTGAATGAGAGGGGATATATGTGACTAAACGTGTTTGTTATGCGACAATAAATACCGTGGTAATTTGTAGAACATGCATTAGACAAATTTGGTCAAAGGAAATTTTCAGTAGTCTTGTGTTTTTTGGTACTTTTCGGTCTTTGTGTGAACTAACGCTTCCCTTGTACCTGTTGACTGCTTGTTTTTGAATTCCAAATACAATACGTTTGTCCGTGCTTATCCAATACTTATTAGTTATATTGAGTTATTTCTGAAATTCAAATACTCCTAATTGTCACATAACTGTTACTGAAATATACATCCCAGCAACCCTCGTATATAATTATTGACTTAATCTGAGTTGGTGAATAACTGTACTAAGTAAACCAAATACGAGAATGGATTTTGAATACGTATATTTCATTTACTCAATGATTTGAGCAGGCAGTCCGAGAAACGAAGTAAAGAGAAAAGAGTAAACCGAAACGAAATGACGCGCAGTGGAGAAGGCGATCGAACCAACTCAATTTAATCGAGGGTGATCAAAAATAAGTACTGATAGGTAAATAATAGGATGAGAAATTAACATACGATAATATAAAAACCTGAAGTGTTAATAAGCGAATAATCAGCAAGGCCAAAATGTGGCCTGAGAAAAACGAATAAATTGGTCTATCCATAAGTCCAAATAATCCATGTGGGCTTAAAATAGTATCAGCCACTACAAAACCTCCTGTAAAAATGCGAATTATAACAAACATTAAAAACAAACTAAGTCAATGCTAACCAATCCGCAGATGGCAATCCGTGAGTGAATGTGTGTTTATGAAGTCTCTTCTCAAAGCTATCCACTATCCAGGTAATTCGGCGTACCTAATATGTTGCATGACATCACCAGATCACCTCTTATTCTCATATAGCTCAACGACAACAAATTCACGTGTTGTAGTGCGTCCTCATAAGATCCATGTTTTAGACTTATCAGCTACCTGGTACCAATTTCCGTACCTGGTCCAGGAAACTTATATTTCTTACAAAGAGATAGGAGCAATAATATTGTGGATCCCAAGATGAGGCCATGTGTACGTTATAATCAGTGTCAAGAACAACCCCGGAGTGATTTCCTTAATTAGTCTACACAGCTGGTTGAGGGTTAAGTTTGTCGTGGCTGCATACCCAATGTGGTTTCAGTTGTTTTCCAAGCTCTCCCTGGTTTGAAACTCGTGATCACGCTCTGAGATGACAAATGGAAACGTATATTTGTGTGGGTAGTAGTGGCGTGTGTCAAATGAGGCAGAATGTTTATGACAGGACATTTCGACGAGTTTGGTTTTAACCTGTTGTCTATTACCGATTACTGTTTATGAGGCTCCAGATTTTTGTGCTGTCTGCATAGTTTAGTGTCGCCAAGCTACTTTTTTAAGACAGGTCGTAGAAGTGGACTAGATGAGTATGAATCGAATCATCTGATGAAAAGTGAAGGAATGAACTCATGTTCTTTCGGTATTAAACCATGCTCTGTACCTTGAAGTAGATATATCAAGAAGCACCTAGAACGATTTTCCTATACAGGTAACTTAAGAAAAATTTTATCAATAGTTACGAAACCTACTGCATCTATTGTTTTGTCGCTGTAACATCTAATTGCAGCGGATTTAGTGTCTAATTTTAATTTCCCGCTTCATCCGATCTCAGCTCCTTGTTTTCGTCAATATAATGGGGCGGGGTGGTATTTTGATTTGGTTTTTGGTTCTAGCCGTCGCTATTCTGATCGCATCTTATATAAAACCGTTTGACCATAGTAAGTAAACCGGTGTCGTGATGCGAACAATTCTTCAAACCGTTTTCTTGCAAAGTTTTCTAACTGTAACTAGCCGTTCTCGTGTTGCTGCTTCTGGTTTATGTGTCAAAAATAGCAGCGTTGTCTGTAAACGCTGTACTAGTTATTAGATTTTGAAAATTTATTTTGTAGTTTCTAGATGGTTTACGTCGGAAAAATTGGTAAACATAGACGTGAAAAGGCTGAAGGAGATGATGAAATCAAACGACCTTAAATTGATAGATGTCCGAGAACCAGACGAGTTGGAGGAAGCCGGGAAGATCCCTTTTGCTGTTAATATTCCACGTAAGTGCAATAAGATCTTCATTTTGTAGTCGGTGAAGTCGAGGATGCCTTCAAATTAGACGAGGAAAGCTTTTTAGAGAAGTACAAGATCCACAAACCGAATGTGGCGGACAAAAATGTAGTTTTCAGTTGTAGAAGTGGTGTCAGAAGTATGCGCGCTCTCAAAATCGTTCAGAGTTTGGGTTATGAAAAGTAAGTCTTTGGTGAGGATGTATATGTATGAATTATTTTTAGTCCTCTCAATCTTGTTGGCGGATACAATGCATGGTCTAAAGAAAATGCAGAAGAATAGGATGTTATTTGCTACAGTACTTCTCTTTACTAAATATGTAACAATGTACAACAATAAGATCGTAATGTATATTTATTTACAGTCAAAACAACTTGTATTTTCAAGACGTTCTCTAATCTGCAACATACCATCCTATTGTTTTTGCATATATTTTGTTTTTAGCTTATCACAAATGAATCTTTTTTGGATAGTTTTGATATATGGGTGTATGTTGTTAAAACTTGCTCTCAGGTAACAACATTTGACGTAGCTTTTACACTGGGATGTGTCGTTATTTTTACAAAATTTTCTCAGAAACAATTGTAAATTTGACATCCAAAGATTGATTTTGTTTCACTTAATCTGTTTCTTTGAATAAATTTTTAAAACGTTTTCAAGTTAACAGCCAAATAATGCTTCCAAGTATGTAGGTTTTACGGACTTTGTCATTTACAACGGACAAATTTCAGTGTCGCGACTAAGTTATTCCACAATTTTCCGTTCTAACTTCTACGTATTCGTGTTCTTGGCTCTGGTCATTGTCGTGTTCTATCTACATACGCAGAACTTTTTAATAAGATCATTAGTTTAACTCGGTACAAGCAGAAAATTGACCCTGATTTTCATTCTATAAATCTTGTCTGTAGAATGTTTCAAAGTAATATCGAATGGGCCTTGGAAATATGTTTGCACTTATCAGATATGGAAGTTATTGATTCTGAAAACTCATTTCAAATAATTTATCTATTGCTTATTTAATTTCCTCTTGTATAAGTCTATGCATAGGTTTTGTTTTTGTTCAGTTAAGCATTACTAGTTAGGATTATGTAGGAGCTGAAATCGACACGAATTCATCAAAGTCACCGTTAAAGTGGATTCAACTATTTATCATTGCAGCTAATTGACAGGGGTTTTGATCATGTAATTAAGACAGAGGATTGTCTATAATTTGGAGTTATACAGTTTCTACCCACTTAAACAGTGAGTGCGGGAGAATTGAGAACGTTTGAGTCTTGGTCGAGTGTGGATAACCTTGGTCATAATTATTTTTCAGGCCTATGAATAGAAATGTACTTGACAATGTTTCATTATAGCTATTTTATTTACTTGAAGTGAGAATACATATACTCCGGTTACCATATTGCTTAAAGTTAAATGGTGTTCCGAACTCGAAGCTCCTTAGTTAAGTATGCTGATCATAGCCACCGCTGACGAACAAAAAATTGCTAAGTCTTCATATAAGAATACTGGAAGTAAATGAATCTCACCTCCTCCAACTTCATTCTGTTCAGACGCTTGCATTTCAACCTAAATGGTGCATATACGTGTTTTTTTCAGGTGTCCTGTGCCGTTTCAGAACGCGTTTGTGCGAGTACCCAGGTCAGTACTAGTGAATAAATAAGTTGAGTGTTTGAACTAAATTATACGGTTAGCTAGACTGGATCTGGTAACCAGAGAAGTCTTGTTATATGTGTAATAGGCCCCCCCCCGACCGGTGCTGCTACCGTAACCCGCTGGTTGGGCCCACCCGTTGTAGCTAACCAATCAAACTATACATGCTGGGAAAATCGTTCCTCAAGGTCCTACTATGCCAGATAGGTCGGTTGAAGAACCGTAAGACTGAAAGCAGCAAACCGAATGTACGAGGTGAAGTCATATTTATTTATTTCAACACATAGATATTGGTACAAAGAGGCACCAAACAGATATGCGCCACATAAATCATCCGATTTGTGTGAGGGCTGGGATACTGCCCGGGTGCCCAGATCGAAGCAGGTGGTTTTCTTAGGGGGCCATACCCCGAGCCTTGGACCTAAAGGTCTGAACCACAAGGCAATGGAGCATCGTGAGGAGATGCAGTCCCATGGTAGCCGGTGACCAACATTTGGTTCATACGCCATTTGTTCCCGCAAGATACTGGAGCCCATGTGCACCATTGGTTTGGAATCCGGTTAAAGCGCCGGACATTCGCTTTTCGTCCTCTCATTTTCGTAAACAACACCCCCGCCACGAGAAGGCAGTGAGTAGGACTTCCCTGGCAGAGGCTATATACGCGTGGCCATGTGAGAGCATTTCGAGAGGGAGAGCGGACTCTCGGCTGTACCAGGGCATTCGGGAGCATATTGCTGACTGTATAGAGATGTGACGGCAGTAAGGTGTTTCCTTCAGAAAACCAGCATAACAGCGATGCTGCCTTCCCACAAGCAAGGGTGGGGTTGGAAAATATCGACCCTAAAACTGAACACCGCCTTGTCCAGCGGATTCCCGTCTCCGGCGATAAGGATCCGACAAGCACTGATCTAAAGTGGAAGCTACTCACAAGAAGGTCATGTGTGACTGGCCTCAAGCAGTTGTCCCTTTGGCACTGCGGTCACATTCTCAGGTCGCTAAGGCCGCTCCTAAGCCAATTTCTTTCTCAGGTACTTCTAGAAGAACCTTTCCACTGTGTGGGCAATCGGGAAGTGATAAATGCATCAACAGCACTCAAGATCACATTATTAATCCCCCTCTTCACTTGCTATTATTCCTCCTACCTCGATTTTTAACTCTAAGATTCCTTTTCAAGTTTCACCACGGCCAACCATTCTAGTGCGCGTAAAATTGTATCAGATCTTCTGACACCTCGCTCCAAACTACACATTGGAGCCTTCAACGTACGCACTTTATGTCAAAGTGATCAGCAGTCCTCATTGACTAAGGCCCTAGAATCTCATACCATTGACGCATGCTGTGTCTCCGAAACACACATACAGGATCCTAATTTAGTCATTCACTTGGCCTCATCTCACCAAAACTTGGAGCCGACAAGACACACCCTCCGTGTATCTGGCGGCTCGATGGCTGGCAGGTGTAAGCATAGCAATAAGTACGAGGACAGAACAAGCACTATTAGAATGGATCCCTGTTGGGAGTCGCCTATGTGCTGTCTGGCTAGACTGCTCCGTAAGCAATCGGAAGGATAGGGACACACGTCGTTTCTGCCTACGCTCTGACTACACTGACTGCAGCCCGGATGAAATGGAAGATTTCTACTGAAAGCTCCCTGAACATCTTCGGAAAGCTGGATGTTCAGACATAGTACTTGTAGCAGGTGACTTTAATACGCAGATAGGTAGCTTAGACCAAACAGAAAGACATTTAGGTGGGCATTCTGGCTCAGCGAACAGATAATGGTGATCGTCTGCTGCAACTGTGTTCAGACAATCGTTTATTCTTAGCAAGCAACAATTTTAAGTATAAGGAGAGACATCGTCTAACATGGCGACCCCTCGCACCAAACCAACAACGGACTCAAGCAGATCATGTTGCCATTAGTCATCGTTGGAGAGGCTCGGTAGAAGACTGCCGCATGTTCAAGAGTACATGTTTAGGCACTGATCATGCTCTGATATGAGTATACATTCGCTTGCGCCTCACTGAATGCGGAAAAACCACATTAAGAAGACCCATTAGAGTTTAACTCAGTGAATAGAAAGCCAAAAGTAGATCCCAGGAACAACTGAGACCACATCTAGGCTGACCCAGATGTTGCTTGTAATGATATATGAACAGCGGAGACATCTATTAGTGATTCGAACCAAAAGGTCACGACAAACGAGTGGATTTCTATTAAGTCTATTGCACTGATAGATTTTCATAAACTCATTCCATCAGGCTCTGGACATGATAAAGAGCGAAAACAAATCAGATCTAGGTTAACCAAAAGTCTAAGAAACGACCATGAACAGTGTTGAGCAACGAAAGCAAAAGAGATGGAAAAGACAGTGGCTGTAAGTAACACCAGACAGCTTTTCAGACTAGTAAAAGCAATTGGAATTAAAAAGTCAAGTGTGAGACAATCTCGGAAAAAGACGACACTTATCTAATCTCAGCCCAAACGTTTAGTACGATGGGCGGAACACATTAAGGAGCAGTTCAGCTGGCCTTCAGCTACTCTACAACTATTCACCATTCCCAGACCGCCTGAATGGAACATTGAAATAGGTGCCCTGACTTTAGCTGAAGTTCAAAAAGCCGTAGCTAACCTGAAACGAGGAACAGCAGCTAGTCCATATTGATTGGCTCCACAGGTGTTCAAGTATGATGGTTTAGCTTTAGCGATTAGGTTGACTAACATTTTAGCTAAAATCTGGGACTTGGACGTAATCCTATTTGACTGGTCGCAATCACTGATTGTCACGATATATTAGAGAGAGTCAAAATCATCCTGTGACAACCATAGAGGGATTAGTTTAACTAATACAGTATCTAAAATACTATCCTCGATAATTATCGGACGCCTAACTGAGACTCGTGAACTGCAAACGCGAGAGAATCGAGCTGGCTTCAGACGTGGTCGTTGCTGCATCGACCACATATTCACCATTCTAAAGCTTTTAGAACACAGGCATGCTTATCGGCGTCTGAGAATGATAGTTTCTCTTGACTTAAAAGCAGCATTTGACTCTGTAGACCGAGAGGTTCTGTGGCATTGTTTGTCAGAAGTACATAGACCTTGTGAAGGCTCTTTACTTAAATATTACGAGTCGATTGAGAGCTTATGGCGAACTGTCATCTGATTTTGCAACTTCAAGTGGTGTCCGTCAAGGCTGTCCACTTTCTCCATTTTTGTTCAACTTCATCATAGACCTACTGCTGGAAATAACTTTCTCGTCGACTGGATTATCAGGAACTGATCTCCTATCAGGAAGTCCAATTATCGACTTTGAATACGCAGATGACATTGTCCTGTTTGGTGAAGACGTTGATAAAATTCAGTCTTTTGGTAGTACTGAGCAACAATGCCAGGATGTTTGGGATGCGTTTCTCCCCATCTAAATGCCAATTGTTGCTTGAGGACTGATCTGCGTCAATACCTGGACTACTTTTCGCTTCAAAAGCCAATGCTCTATTCTTTGAGCTAATCAGACTATATATATGACAACTTGTCCAACTTGTATTATATTTATTACGTGTGAGGGTTTGGACTGTCCTGCGTCAACACCTGAACTAAGGACAGAGAGTGAAATGGCCGAACGCGTCGACAACTTCACTTGTCTTGGAAGTCTGATTAGTCCTAATGGGTTGGTATCTGGTAAAATCTCTACATGGATTCAACTAGCTCGTTCGGCTTTTTCCAAATTACATCACTTATGGCGAAGGCGAGATATCCGTCTATCAATTAAGGGACGAGCCTACTGAACAGCGGTTCATTCTGTTTTACTTTACGGCTGTGAAATGTGGCCGTTAAGAGTAGAGGATACTCGTAGGTTACTAGTATCTGATCACAGATGTCTTAGAAATATTGTTCATATCTGCTGGGATCACAGGGTAAGTAATAGTAAGGTTAAACGTAGGGTATTAGGGAATGATGGTAAGTCAGTTGATAGGGTTGTGAATCTTCATCGACTGAGATGGTTGGAC